TTTTTTTTTGCATTTGCAAAAAAAGAAGCAAATATGGAAATTTTGCTTTTTAAAATTTCAATGCTTCCAATATTCATTTCCAAACTATGAATGTAATATTTTGAAAACTAACTTTATCAATGAAAATAAAAACTGTTATTAAATATTACACTCATTTTTTTTGTAGAAAATTTTTTAAATAAACTTTTATATAATTGGTAATTTTTTGTTTAATAATCTATAAAATAACTAAATACCGGTAACAGAGGGTATAGGTCGAGCCATGGATGCAAGTAATTGACTGAAAGGATCGCTAGTAATATCAGAGCCCGTCGAGCAGGTTCCCAACGAACTCGATTCACTCATTTCTCTCGCTTCCCTCTGAAATTATACGTTCCAGAACGTGAAAAATGTCATAATCATATCACGTCATGCAAAATAACAAGGCTGCGTTACAGAACATTAATATTACGTACAGTACTGCTACAAAAGAGTAATAGAAATAATAATAATAAATACTTAGAAGACTAGTTTACATCCGTATATAGAGTACATTTTTACACATGTTCAATGCAGACAAAGTTATATGGCTTGGCTATTTATTGAACTTGCTAGGCCTAAGGACATTTTAGCCTAACTATCGATCAAATTATTGAGCTTTAGTGTTTTACTTTCAATGCTAAAAATTAAAAAATAAAATAAAAAAGGAATTTAAAGTAAATATATCAGTGAAAAAAATTAAAAAATATGTCAATAATATTATGAATATTATTGAAAAAAAAATCTTTACATTACATTTGGTAAGAAATACAGTGTTTTATCAGAACAAATTTTTTCAATCTTTTTATTGATCTAATCTCACTAAAATAAAAATAAAAATAAAAGTGACAAAATATTACAATATATTAGAAAATATTAATGGTGCTAAGTCATTTACTTATTAGAGTATAAAATAAGCTTTTTACTAAGAGTAAAATCAAGTTTTAGTGCATTAAACATTAATGAAAATTTGATAAAATTATTGAAACTGAAAAAGAATTCACCAAAACAAATATATGTGCTTCTGGTAGTCATATCACATTTCACCAATAATCTTTTCAAAAATCGGTATATATTATTGATTACTGAATTACTGCAATTATCTCATGCAAATAACCGAAATCTGCTTTTATTACTTCCTTATTGAGCAAAAAAACTCTTAATGCATTACTTTTAACTTTACTTCACTCTTTTTATCAACAAACTTATTCATAAAGTGAAAAAGAACTATGACTAACATTCAAATATGAGTTTTCACTAATTACAATAGTGCTAAAGTAAAAAACAAGTAAATATTTACATAAAATCTTTCCTCCTTTGCTACCATATTATTGTATTTAGTATAATTTTTTGTAGAAAAAAGTTTTTTGTTCAAAAAATTTTAATAAACATAAAAAATAATCTATCTGTACAAAACTAATAAATTAATCTCAAAAACACAATCAGTTGACTGTAACAAATGAATATTAAATTCACAGTAAACTGATTGTGTTTAGCCAACTTATTGTGCTACAGTCAACATGATTGCATTGTAGTAAACATTTAATTTAATAGCCTGGAAAAGCTAATTTTATCAACTTCAAACATTTCTACATATTAGCAATTTTTACAAAATTAGCTAATTAAAAAATTGCTTCCTTCAATATATTTGTACAGAAATATAAAACAAAAATCGAGAATAATATTACAAAAATTTGTGAATGAATTTGTTTGCTTCACAAATTAATGTAAATAATTATAGTTAAACTACTGAAAGTTTCATTTCATACAAATAAATAACTGAAGGCAAGGATGAAATCCAATTCGAGTTAAAGTAAAAATGTCAATAAGTTGCTTGGCAAAGATTTATGCATATTTATTTTAGTACCTTCAATCTTAGCATAAATATTATCGATAATAATAATAATAGTAATAATAATATCAAATGTTAAAATATATTGTAATGAGCCTCTTTTTGAGTGGATATGTTTGCACGTACATGAAAGTATTAACAAGGATTCTTTATCATTTTTTTTCATCGTCATTC